TCCCCCGGCCCCTCGGCACCGAGGAGCTGCCAGACCCCCGCAGCCCCCCTCAGAGGTTATTTTAGCTTCCCTGGCCCCGTGCCAATGATGAAATCAGTTATTTCCATGTGTTTCCAAAAGCATTAGCCAGCTTTAGCAGCTCTCCGAAGGCGTTACATAAGGCAGCGCTTCCAATGGCGCTCGGCACAGCCAGGATCTGCCTGAGCCTGACACAGAAGCTGCTCACAGCCTGATGTGCCTCACATTGTACCTGCCAGCCCCGGGGAACAGTGGCCTGAGCTCCGTGTGGCATTTGGCTCGTCACTGCTGACTCCAAATGTGGCCTTTTAATGAGCTGGGAATTGCCCAAATGCAGCAAACCCTGCAGTCCTGTTGGTCCGGCAGCAGCTCTGCTAAAGCATCCAGCAGAACTCCTTGGAGGTTTGTGATCAGCCTCTCAGCTGCACTTAGTGCTTCCCCCAGGGAAAAGGAGTGTGGCAGTTTTCTCTTTTCCTCTGCTGAGGATATTGACAGCTTAAAATCTTGTGCTTCATTAGCACAATAACTCCCCTCCTAGTTCTCTTCCCACCCCTGCGTGAGAGCTGGAGCCAGAATTACCTACTCTTCCCTCTGCCTGATTTTACATGGCAGAGCCTTGAATCTTTGTCCATCTCTTACAGCCTGAGTCTCCTCCTGCATCCTCACTGCTGTCAGTTTGTTTATCTGCATCCTTTCTGTGCTTGTGCTCCACAGAGGTGGGAGCTGAGTGGGTTTGGCAAGGAGAGGAGCTTGCCTGGGAGGAGGTGACCAGACCCCTTTCTTTCAGGGCAGTGGGAAGCCCTAAGGATCCCTTTTCCTGTCCTCTCTCCCACCTGAGAACAGTCTTCTACCCCTCATTTTGCTGTGTACATTGCAAAAGCTGGCATAACCTTCTGATATTCCCCTTGCTTGGTGTGAGACACACTTTCCAGCAATCAGCATGCCAGGTGGACTCAAGAGGGATTAATTTTGGGGTGGGATTGCCCCAGCTCTGCCTGCTCTGGAGGCCTGAGCAGCTCCCCAGCATCTGCTGAAGCCCAGGGCTGAGCTGTGCAGCCGTGGCACCACGTAGCTATGGTGACAAACCTGGATGCTTTATTTAGTTCCTGCTTTTCCTCCAGAACATCTGCATTTCCTGGTGGGTGCCTGTTCCTCCTGCAGCAGGCTGGAGCTGAATCCATTGCCTGTGGATCAGATACTGTGGGTGGCTGTGTTTGTGTGAGCAGCACAGACACCCCCCAGCTCAGCTCTGTTGCTCTGGTGCTTTTGTCTCATCTTTGTGTTGATTTGAAAGGCTCTAAAAGCCCTCACAGTGCCTGGTCTGGGTTTGAGTGAGGCAGAATTCAGTGCAGCAAAGTGCTCATTTCCTCTGTCTGCCAGGGCTGTGCTGACCACAGGCACCACAGCCAGGCTATGAAGCAAACACAAACACACTTTGTAAGGTTTTTTTGTTCTTCTGTTGACTACTTTTGTAGTGTGTCTTTACTTTTTCTTCCCCTTGAGCTTGTTCTTATCTTTGTTCCCTTTTTGCAGAACAGCAGAGTTTAGAGGACTTAAAGCTTCAGTGGTATTTAGCTTGTAAAGAGACTCGCATGACAGTATATCCTCCAGATTAGTTGGGATGCTGCTCCTCATTTTGTCTCCCTAATCAGGGATGAAGCTTTATTTGTACTCTTCAGGGATGGAAAGAAGGGCTGGTGCTGTTTTGTGTGTGCAGTCAGGAGAGATGTGTCAGGGCAGAAGGGTTTATAAATAGTCTTAAGGTTCTTCTGGCAGCATCTGCCCGTGGCTTATCAACTCCTGTGCACTTTGCTTCTGGACCAGAAAAATGCACAAGGTCAGCTTTCCTCCTCCTGAGCTGATAGACTTTTACTGGAAGAGGAAGCTCTGAGGCTGCAGCTCTGCATTAATCAGCATCTGGATTGATTTCTAGGCCCTGAGACCTGGCACATGGTGGCTGGATCCTCAGCAGTTTGTTTTGTCACTTCCACGACCTTCCCTTGCTGGGACAGTGAGAGGATGCATCCTGGTGACAGTGGGATGCTTTAATTCTGCTGTGGCAGGGGTCCCCAGGGCTGTGTGTGCCCTTCCAGAGGCCTGGCCTAGATCACAGGCTCAAGATTTGCCTGCAGAGGGAGTTTGTGACCAGAGCAGCCAGCTGAGTGCAGGGAGAGGGAGAAGGTCCTGCCTCATTTACAGATTGGCCTCACGCTGCTTTTACAGTGCTTGTTAAATATTGATCTAAGTTGGAGACTGAAATGGAATCCAGGTTGAGCCTGTTAATTTTGCTGTTGGATTTCTTCCTGCTTCTCCAGTTGCACACCTGAGACTGCCCTGTGTTCTGAGCTCCAGGAATTCTGCCCTGGAGCTGTGCCTGTCCAGGATCACTGAGTGTGAGGAGGGGGTTGTGAGGAGCTCAGGGCA